TGAAATTGGGTTTCAATAGAAAGAAAAAATTGTACCCTTTCACATAGTGCACAGAAAACGAAATGAAAATCGAGCAATACGGAAAAAAGTGGATATGACTGCGCGCGCACGCGGTCCTCATAATTTTGGACCACCCTGTATATTCCGTGTTGTTGTTGCTATGCCATACAGGTTGTTACGGTGGAATAGATTTATTCGCTCGACGTTTCGAACAATTCATCGTCTTCAGGACCTTACTGCTACTCCACCAGCGCCACGCAGCCAATTCTCAGAAGATATGAAGATGTACTGAGAATTATTCATATTTACTGAGAATTGGCTGGCTGCTTGGTACTGTTGGAGTAGCAGTAAGGTCCTGAAGACGACGAATTGTTCGAAACGTCGCCCGAATAAATCTATTCCACCGTAACAACCTGTATGGCATAGCAACAACAACACGAAATATAAATGAAAGTTTCATTTGGATCGCTCAACGCGACGGTGGTCTAATAGGCGCCGGCCAACGCGCCGGCCAGCCAAAAAACGGCGCGGTACGCAATGTTTTACCCTTTAGCGAGAATGGCACCTACCGGTGGGTCCACTATGATCGCCGTGTGGGACGATGGCACCCAGTTATGGATGCCACCCTGAAATTTTCTTCCTTACCCATTTAAAGCACGAGTCAGGATTAGGGAACATTAGGAAGTCCTTTATAGGGTGCAAAAGTGGGGTCTCCAGGGGTGTGAGGCTGTCGCGACAAAAAAGTGCGCGGCAAAGGCGCTAGGGCCTTGCATTGTGTGCTGCCATGCTGCGAGAGTTTCCCGGCAGCATGCAACGCCCACCGCGGGATGTGGTGGGTGCAGAGTCAAACCTGCGTTGCGCAGTTCGCAACGGCACGTCGAGAAATCCTCAACGCACGCTGTATGGGCGGAGAGACAGACGGTTTGAACATGCGAGTGTGAATGTTCGCGCGAGAGAACGTGTCTAATCGGGCGAAAATGGGCAACGTGGCCGTTGAGAACTGCGCAACGCACGGTTGACTCTGGGTGCGTGGCTGGCTTAACGTGTGAGATCAGCTAGGTTGATTGCCGTATCAACCGATAAAACATCTGGCATATCCGGAAAACTCGTTTGAACGTGACTCTCCCCCCAGCAAACCTCCTTCACTGCTAGAAAGGAAGGAGTTGCGATTTCGGTCTTATCGACTGTTTCTTTGCGTTCTTCACTATCGTTCCACTTCCCATCCCTAAACTCAATATCAGGCGCCATAATACCAAAACACGAGCCTGACTTTAGCCTTTGAAACATTTTCAGCATATCAGTAATAATAAGCAAGCTCTGTAACGCCTATGTTTAGCATACTTTGCAGAAATGTTGGTTACTAGCTAATTTATACGAAGTCTTTAGGATATGGCACTTCGCCCGGCGATGTATTAATTAGGTTTTACATTACTGAGCTTAAGGTGAATTACAGTTTAGGGACCCCGTCTTTAACAGGCTTAAGACACAAGTATGAGTTTAAACTCATCATTCACAAATACTACTGTGCACTTGAATTTCTAAAGTTTCAAACACCATCCTTTTAAAATCCGAGATTTCTTTCCAAACTTCTACTTCTGACTCAAGCTAATACATGAATCATAAAGCTTAAGACTTTAGTCATATTTTATTTTATTGTCATAGTCCAAATTGTAATAGAAAAAACCGTTTTAGGAACCTGACAATTTCTTGCCCATTTTGTGAGAATTGGCGCCGCCAAAAAAGGAAGCGTGGTCTCCACGAGCAGCGCTACGTGCAAATCGCATGCCGTCAAAGGGTTAAGGCGGCAGCCCACTGCTTTGAAGCCGTGTCGTCCACTCGAGGACAGAGTGGCACCTACCGATGGGTGCCATTGTCGCTAAACGGTTAAGCACCTCGCCCACAAGCAGTTCATGTTCTACAAGTCGTTCGACGAAGGAGCAGCCTTCCATTGCAGTATCCTATGATAACAACGTTCTTTTTTTTTCTGTAGCGTCCATTTTCAACATCATTTATGTGAACGCATACGAAAGTGTCTCTCGCTCTATAAAAATGCGTGATCAATTTCACAATTGCCAGGGAAGTAATGGTCACAGATTCGCGTGATTGGCGAGGCACAACCTACAAATATTAGTTCAAATCTGCTTCTAATCAAAAGTCCATTTTCACTAGGGAAAATATCTATCAATGTGTGCACGGCCTTCTGAAAGCTTCGCTGATGCATTGCCCAACAAGACGTGTCGTTCGGGTGGTGAATTTGGCGATTTGGCGTCTTAAACTTCTGTCGCGGCTCAGCGACTGGATTCCCGTCTCGCTATGCCTAGAATACAACTTAGTCACAGCCGTGCTGTAAAGCGAAAGGCTGCAAACATGAGTGTGTAGAGCAGGCCGACATGCTTTCGAGGTATACGAATAGATGGGAAACTTGGAAAATGAGTGTGGCGCTACATACTCTCACATATGTTTTGAATGTCACATCGGGACTGCGACGACAAAGACAGTTTTAGTGGTACATGGCCTTTTAATGGGTGTTAACATGTCCTTTCCACTAGTACTACTTTAACTTTGTACAGCTAGTTGTGCAATTAGCATGAGTATAACCTCTCCATGTGCTTTTTGGAAACCGTTCACAACATATTTCTTTGGAACAAATACTGGTAGGATAAGAGGAAAAGATTCAGCGTCACCAATTCACGCTATGAGATGTGCGCCAGCCATCCTACACTCTATCAGAATTGCAGTGCGCAAGTTTGAGCGCAATTTTAGTTCTATACAATAATTGTAGAGCCAGACTGATGTTGCATCTCGAGTTGTTTGTCCTTCCAGACAAGTTTGGCGCCAACCACACAGGTCCGGAGGGATGGAAGCGATCGGGTGGCTGGGATGACGTAGGAGCCATAAATCCCCTAACACACGCGTTGCTAAATAAGCGTTACTTGCTCCACGTCAGCCTCTGAAGCCAAGTAGTAATGCTGACAAAATTGCGGACGCTACGCGCAACACTACGGACGGGCATGGGGCAGGAACTTCGGGGGAAAATGGTAGTTCGGAACGCGACCTGAGTCTTTCCTCCTCCGTTGAGGGTTAGCACCTTTTAACAATAAGGAGAGCGTGTCAATCGGTAGGAAAAACATGCTACCATGATGGCGAATCTCGCAATAGCGCCTCAAAGATACGCATTCCTTGGAATATCTGGTATCAAATGTGTTATGGATAGTAGTCTACCATTCGCATTCCTATTTGAAACCTTCTTTACACGGTCCCACTGACTTAATTTTATATTTGGGCGAGCGTACAAATGCCAGCAAAGGAGTGAAAGGGGATTTGTCCTGTTAGGTGACTCTTGCTAATGATATTAGATTTTGTGATTGGTTCATTTCAGTATGAGGTGAAACTTGCGAGTCGACAGATAGTCGGTCCAATGGGGAGTTCGGCTGGCCATAAAAAGCGTGCAGGAACGACGTGAGGAAGCTGGATGGCGAGGTTATCACAAGCAGCAGAGCTATGCAGGCTCGCTGGGTTGAGTCTAGCCACGTGAAGAACCGGCATGCCAGTCCCTTTAATTTTTTAGATAAGAATGAGCCGCGTTGATTTTCATCCGGGTCAACGGCGAACGCGGCGCTGGGCATACGCAAGCGCCGCTGGCGCTGGGGGAGCAGCGTAAAGCTTGCGATGTGCTGACGGTTTGTGGTGCTAGTACCGTGATTTAGATCCGTGGTTTTAGGTCTATCAAACTTTTTTTTGGACGCAGAAGTATACGGGAATTGAGAGCGTTATGCCAACACTATGGCGGTGATGCCTGGGATCCGCTCGGTACTGGACAGCTACAGCACAATGCATACTTGCAGTAATACTGCTATTCCTTCGAGGTATTACATTCATGATGTTAAGAACTATTTTAAGAAGCAGACAGCGTTGAAAGATCTCAGAAAGATGTGCAAATCTTATTGGCACCAAGGACAGGAGGCTAGTTGGAGGGTAACTTCTCGTTGTTCCCTGCACGGAGTTTCGAAACTTCTTGTGTGATCGTTCATGGGATTGACAATGCACCCCAAGCCCATAAGATCGGATTAAACCTACGATTTGTCTAGTTTCTCTGTAAGGCACAACGAGCAAGAACGGGAAATAGTAGGGTTGGCGGCGATCAGTGTGGAATCCTGACCATGCCATTGGAGAAATCTTCAATGAAATCAAGTAGGCCCATGGTTATTCCCAGACGATAGCGGTCAGCAGTGTTTTTCAACGTAAAGGTATATTTAGGCCACGGCGGGCCCCTACCAGGAGCGATTAGGACTGAGAGTAAGGAGGCGGAGTACTGAGACGGCTTCTATGGCGTGGCTGGCAGGAAAAGATTCTGACAAGCTAACAGGGAAGAATGGTAGGCTTATTCCAGATCTGCCTTTCAAATATGCTAAAACCATTTTCCGAACGGAGTTAGAAGCGCAATAGCTCAGTGGCTGGGATGCTAGACAAAGTCAGCTCTGCTTCCGCATGTCTGTTCCTTTTCGCCGAAGCGCAAAAGAACCGTAAATTCCGTTTCGGTGTGCCGAGGTTACCTCATGTAGTAAACAAATTTTCGGCGAAATCTGAAATTTTGAGCCTAACCTGAAAAGTTGACGAGAGAGCATGTGCTAAACTTGTCAGCAACTGCCTGACCGAACTCTTTCGTGCGGGTTAATTCTACGGTGTAAACATGGATGAGAATAAGCGTGTATAAAGTTTTCTCAGAGATATAGCAGATAAAAGAAAAGGAACAACCGCAAAGTAAACCCAAACTACAGGCTTTTATGGCAGCCGGAAAATCATCAACACTGAGCTATTCGCTTCTAACTTCGTTTGGGGAACTCGTTTAGGCAATTTGGAGGGCAGATTTGGGATGAGACGTCCATTCAGATTGGTATACATTTGTTTGTCGTTGTGAGAATCTATTTCATCGCCACTTCAAACTTACCATCCTGGCCCTGTCAGTTAGAAAGTGTCGTATAGAGTAGAAGCACTTCGATATGAGTAGCCCTTCAAGTGAGAAGGCACATGGTACCTCAATGAAGTAGGCGTTGGCGAACACGGAATTCCTTTGGAATTTTATATCGGTTCACCTAATTGCAGAACCAGCTTACAATGGGGAAGCGATCGGATAGTTGAAGTTGCCGGTCGAAATGAAATAGAGATATACCTCCTGATGGGTCTTCAGACGGTGATTCGATGCCTCAGAAAACTGCTAAACGACTCTCCAAACAGGTTAGTGAAAATGTAAGAGCTGTCCCCAGGGCCGCGGGGGGGGGGCGCGGGGGGGGGGGGCCCCCCCCCCCCCCCCCTTTTTTCCCCCCCACAAAAACAAAAAACAGGGGGCGGGGGGGGGGGGGGGGGGGCTCTCGGGGGGGGTGGGCCGGGCCGGCGGGCCGGCGAACCAACAATTGGGGCGGCGCGGGGCCGCGGGGGCGGGCGGGCGGGCGGCGGGGCCGGCCGGCGGGAGGGGGGGGGGGGGCGGCGGGGGGTTTATTTTCTTGTTTCCCCCCCCCCCCCCCCCCCGGGGCCGCGGGCCGCGCGCGGCCGGCGGGGCGGTGGGCGGGGGAGGGGGGGGGGGCGGCGGGCGCGGGCTGGGCCACCTTTCATGGGGGGGGGGGGGGCCCCCCCCCCCCACAAAAGTAAAGCCGTAGGACTCGGTTCCTTTGCTATCCGGTTCTTTACTTTGTCTCCAGAAATGTGCGGACAAAAGCAAGCAACCAAACTTGCAGGAGGAGCCGCAGGCCAAAGAGGTTACCTGCCACCCCTGACATCACCACTGAAAGCTATTACGCTTCATAAACTTCCGTTCGAGCAGAGTCGATTTAAGCAAGCATTTGGAAGCAGATTTTGGAATCCGCGTCTAGAGCGCGATCAGAGTGGCGATGTACATCTGCGTTTCTATACGGCCACTTCGATCTACCATCTTTCCTGTTAAGTAACGGTGGACCTGTTTCGTGTAAGAAGCCTTCTTTGTAAAGTGATTGAAACTCTCACTCGGGGAGCGGAGTAAGGCGGGAGGCGGGCGTTTTCTGGCGAGCTCGTTGCCGAAAACATTCAAAATTTCAGGCAAAATCAATAGATGTTATCTACTACAATTCGGTATTCATAAAACCTTAGTTGAAGGTTCATCGAAGCGCTGATACACAAACACCGGGGCCCAAAAAAGTTCGACGTCGTTGCTCACTCAGTCGGCAGTCGTGTCTAGCCAGGCTAATTTCTGGAATAGGGTTTCCGTTAGACCTACGTTAATATTCTATTGGGAGAGATTTGAACATCATAGCAATAGACAGAAAGAAATAGACAACTAACATTAAAATTTCAGTAAAAGGGCTCAAAGCGAGCGTTCTCTGGTAGGAACTGATCGAAACTGTTTAACCTTGGTGCCCACCCTCACGCCAAAATCTGACAGCCTTGCGCTCGGATAGACTGGATCCAAACTACAGGTTGAGGCAGCATTTCAAAGCTTCCTTTTATATGAAGGTTGAAAAGGCTGATCCTATGAGAAAAGTGGCGCTTTTTTTTTGTTTTTTTGCTTTTTTTTAGTTGCGATGAATTCATATAAGTGATACAATGCCGGCAATCGTCATACTGGATCGACCCGTTTTCGGATAATCAGATTGGATTTTCTCCCCCTAGTAGCCGCTATCGTTGCCCTGCAAGCTTCAGCATGTGTTACGGGTCCCCCAACCTGTTTTTGTTCGAGGGCAATTTGTGGAGAAATTTCTCCTGAACAGGGGGAAGCACAAAGACAGCGCCACTTCCCCATAGCGCCACAATCATCAAATTTGCTCATACGCACGAAGCCGGCGTTATGAATGTTTACGGCGGGCGAATTTCATAAGGTCTCGCCCATAAACAAAACGCGGCCCTCCCTTCACCTGCCGCCACGTTACTGAATATCGAACGGCATCTGCCGTCACCGATTGAAGCTGTTAACAGAGGCTACATCCGTTAATCGCCTCAGCTGGTCGAGCTACCAACTTCACTTCAATCAATTAGGACTCGTTGAATAACTAGTCGAATTGGAAGACTAGACTGTCTGTGCAAAACCGTTCGACCAGCGTCGTTCGGGGACGTCGTAATGGTCTATGTTACCTCGGCGACCTCGTTGAGCTCGTACCGTGAACATGTTTTCGTATAATGGGAAATCTTCTTATGTCAACGGTGTAGAAAGCTATTATGTAATATTTGATAGAATAGAATGTGCTCTTTAATATTAAGTTGGGCACATTTGGTCTTGTTTTACAACGCGTGATTAATTACGTTCCGAATGTGAGAGGAAATGAATTTTTTTTGCCCCCTACCCCTCCCTGTTTACAAAGTACTATGCAGTAGAGGAAGGTGAAGACTGAGCGAAACGCGTGTGTGTAGCTTTGGAGAACCTTGCTTCATCCCGAGGATTCTTTAATGAAAGAATTTTTGTTTAGGCCTCTGTGTATGTCAGCTAGCGCAGACGGTGCCCGCCTGGTGTAACGCTCTCGATGGTCTCTACCCAGGATATACTTGCCAAGATCAGGTGAGGTTTATAAAGTTGACGGCTCTAAGTCATTATTCATTGTTTTGAATGGGTTTTGCAGTGAATGAAGCGATAAACGAGGATTTTTCGTACTTGTACGGTACGTATGCACACGGTCGCCCGTTCGCACATGTACCGTTTTCGCTCGAAAGATTCCGTTCACAGCCTATGAATCCAGCATTGACCAATAGAGTATGGAAACGCGGGATATCATGCGAAAGGCATGCTGCTGTTCGGCGGAATACAGAACACTGTGATTTCTGAATTCTGGGCCAGGTCTAGGGCGAGGGTAATAGATGGTACCCCGGGGGTCGTGCATATTTTTCCGTTCCCGTTCACAGCCTATGAGATACTCCCTTACGGATTGATCACTATTTTTGACCCGCGACATCAGGCTCATTTAGACTGGTCGCCTTGATGCGTATTCAGCGGAGCACATTAAAGTTCCAGCGTGCCTTAGGAGTGATGACTAATCTTGATCTCTCGGTGATCGTGATTTTCCAAGTGAACTGAACTGGAAGGGATCAAGACTAACTCATTCCTAAAAAGTTTCGAGAGCACTTCCCTAAGAAAAAGTTCCTTCAGCTTCTATGCGGCTACACGTCGGGCAATTGCAAACAGGAAAACTACTCGGCATTGCTAGAAAAACTGAACAATGATCCAGCGCGAGAAGCCGAACACGTCTATGCCATGTGGAGTGATGGTAAGCCGTTTTTGTTGCATACGATAGGGAACTACGCCGACAGGCCATGGGGGGGGGGGTCACGCCTTTGCTTCTAGTATATCTGAAAGTACGAGTCGCAATCGAATTAGTGTGTTAGTTTGCTAACAACTACGATTTGAGTTGTCAGTGGAAAACAATCAAAGAGTACCATAGAAAGCACTCAAATTTTGAGGTGGGCCTTTTAACCCATTCGCGACAATGTCAGCCACCGGTGGCTGATGCGAAGATATCCACTTTGGACCATGTCGGCCACCGCACCGCCGTCGGGCTTACGCAGCAGAACAGTGCAACGGCACCGGTCGCGACTCACAGTCAAAACGTCGTAGGATCGGTCCCTTGTCGTAATTACGGCTTTTAATTTTGAAGGAATTTGGCTAACTAACTATTTAAAGCTTGCAGCTGTACTCCTGAAGAAACAAAACAGTAACCGCGAAAAGGGGCCGATCCTACGACGTTTTGAGCGTGAGTCTAGACCACTGCCTTTGCGCTGTTTTGCTTCATAACTCCGTACAGAGAACCCTTAGCAGATTTAGAAGGTAGATTTGAGACCAGCATTTGAAGACTATCTAGGCGTGTACATCTCTTCTTGAATGGCCATAGCGACCTGATAGCCTGTCCTAGTAGCGCTGCGAGAGGAGGGGGATCGCGTGAGAGCACATAGCGTGCGAAAGGGTGCAGGCGTCAAGTATGCTGCCAGTGATGGAAACGGTCGGAGTGATCAACTCCTTTTTTGGATAACCAGATTAGTCCCCCGTCAACCGCCGGGACCTTCTTTTCCTGTCGCAAGCTTTCTATCCTCCGCTATGGTCCCCTTCCCTCCTCACTGGAAGTTGACGCGTATGCAATCACAATGGTGTTTCGACAGTAGAAGGGACACAATCATGATGTGACGGTAGATTTTCTTGCGCTTCCCTCCCTCATCTCCCTCCTCTCTCCACTGCCTCTCCAGCTGCCCACTGCAGCAAGCCATGTGGAATGGAACGGAAGTGTGCTAAGCAGGTGTTTATATAGCCCCTAAGAGTGTAGCGTAGTGTTTATATAGCCCTCTTCACGTTAGCGAAGGATATTGATCGGCAGATTATTACCCTTTACGTAGCTGGACCTTCTGAAGGGGAATCGTCAAGTGCGAAGCGGTTCTTTCGCCTTTGTCTACCGGGAAATTCCTAAATTCTGACGACCACCGCAAACATCCATAAAGGCCGTCGATCTTCAGCCGTTCGAATGTGAAAGTTTTTTGGCCCCGTCCTGCAAAAGTGCATAACCCAACTGGGAGTGCGGAGCGTGAAGATTCTTTTAATAATATTAATTATGCATTTATCTTTCAAGAGGCATATGGCACGAGAACCGCAAGTAATCATGTGCAGACTAATTGTGTTCAGCGCTGTAGAGCAGTACCGCCGTTGCATCTTCTCTGTGCAGGTTTTGTAAATGCTCCGCGACCGCTAGCGCTGCGCTTGTTACTCCCCATTTTCAGCGATGCCTTACCTCCACATTACCGCTCAGCTCTCAAATAGGTCACAATAGTACATATAAAATTCTACACTGGTAGCACTCCACCAAATACTCCATTTAATGAAAATACGCCCTCACAGGATTTATCACTGTTATAAAACCATTTCTCCGATTCTCTATGCAACGAGAGCTGACATTCGTCCCTTGGCTGTCAAATCAAAACTAGGGAATTCGTGCACGTGATCCTGGGCTGATCACTCCATCTTTGTCAATCCCGATTCTGTCCGATCTCAGCGAAGGCGTTCATTGTGACTGGACACGATCTTGTAGGACAGGATAGTGAGAAGGAATAATCGCATGGCGGTAGGGAAGTAATCGCCGTGGACGCGTAAGTTTAGGAAACACTAACACACTGCGGACGCACTATTTGCTTGAGTAAATTCGTATCTTTTTTATGTATTTCAAAAATGAATTATTAATTATTCTATAGAACATCCTTTTATCAGTGATGACACGTAACCTCCTGGGTGTCCCCAACAGGCCACCGCGCGGCGAAGCAAGCAGACGCGGCAAAGCGACGAGTCGCAGCGCATACTGTAGCGGTTAGGTGTCAGGTTGAAGAGAGTGTACCATACTACGTCTCATGTCGCACAGCACGCGCAACAACTCATCTCTTTGCCGCATCTGTGTCTCTTGCTTTGCCGCGCTGTGGGCCCGTTGGGTAAAGCCCAGTACACCCGTAACCTCCTCTTCGAAAAACGAGAAAGTAACGGGTGCAGACCAAACACCATAACTGACGACGGCTTCCAAGTAAATCTGGTTAGAAGTTGTTCATTGTGATAGCTGATCTCTGTTAAGTGATAGATGTAATTAGTGACAACCGATAAAATAGAACTGCAACAGTCTAATCATTTCATTGGCAGAAAACATTAACATTTTGTGAAGGTCGTCGTCACTTGTGATGCATGGTCTGCACCCGACATTTTCTAGCTTTTTGAATGAAGTTTATGGTTTTCGGCTTCGAGAATTAGTGATAACACACAAGGAACATTGAAAAATGACAAATAAAGTTAAATCTATGGTATTTCGTGCGAAATCGTGCCCTACATGGTAGCGCACGCGGCACACAATGTGTTGACAAGTGAATGGAATTCGTTTCTTTGTCACCCCTTTCTAAGGGCTTCCCTCATTGAAAAATTGCCATACTTACTGGGCTTTACCCATAACCTTTTCAGTGGATGAAGTGCTTCTGTTCCGTGGAATGACATGGGGCAAACCAACGTCGAGAATACCGGGGATGAATGGCCGATGGGTTTCCGATCGGAACGGCCACGTCGCCATGAAAGATCTCACTGAACTGCGCCAATACGAAGCCGTTGTTCACCACTCCATCTAGAATACTCTCATTTTCTCCTAATCCTATCATGAAGATGATCTGCGATTATTCTAACGATTGCTTTCTAATTTATTCAGATTTCTATCATCATGCAAAATTGATTTGTGCTCTTCGAACTGAAGCCGGTAATAAAGCATTAACCTTGGTTTCTCGTATCTTTTGCTAAAATTTTCGTATTATATTGCACACTGCCGTGACTTGCGCGGTGAGCGAGAGGTGCCGGCTCGGTTCCCAGACAGGGTCAACCGTCACGTTCGAACATTTTCGGGATTTTTGCGACCCCCTAGCTTTAGAGGGGGTCCAGTTGCGACCCCCTGTTTTGTTAATAAGACTGCTAGACATGAATCCGTTGCCCTAGAAAGCGTCTGCGCGTCGTCCCGTCGGCCTTGGAGCGCGGTAGGTATCAATAAACGGTATCACGAGCGCGGAAGAACGGAACGCGTGCAAGAAAAAAATTCAGAAGGGAATAACTTCCTTTGGAACGTAGTTTTTTTTACTTGTTGAGGATTGATTTTGATTGCCCTGATGTGCGCTTCCAGAACTACAGGATTGCCTACCCTGTCCTCTCCGAAAAGTACTTTGCAAGAGATGGAAAAACCAACAAATTCTCAAGAAGGGCGCAGCTTCAATATTGAAAAGGCCCATAATATCTTTCGTATGCGACATTTTGGAAAACTGTAAAAAAGTTCTGGAAAACATCAAATCGTTGCTCTAACGAAACAGTAATAAAAGTTGACCCAGTTCCTCTTTATTCAAACGCACCCGTGCTCGAATCACTTTTTTTGAAATCGGCGAGTTTTTGGGCTTTCATGCGGGCAATAATACTCATATTTCATTTCTTGAATGCACACTTTCCATGGTGAGTAGAGGGCAGGATTTGCCTTTGACATTGTTGAGACGACGAGTCGTTTCTGCTTTCTTATTCGTATCATCATTTTCTGGTTAGAACGTCCGCAGAAAATACGGTCCCCGAAGGGAGCTTAATCTTCAGGCCCCGAGAAGGTCAAGTTTCATAGAATACATTCGTGTCTTTATCCTCAAGAAAAAAACGCCCGCCCGTGATTTGCCTGAAATGTCCTCTCTGTTGATAAGTTAATCGAATCTACAGTGCGGTCATGACGAGCAAGTCTTGCCCTTCGATACGCCACGCACTGCGCCTGTGGCTGGCATTCCCGAAATTGGACCACACCCCTCCGACAAAAGGCGATTGCCTCCGTTCGAACATTCCAACGGCACGGTTGACCCCTGTTCCCAATCAGAACGAACGTGTTTCGTGTCATGACCCAAGCAGGTGAAATTCCAGTGCGATGCGAAAGACGCATTCTGGTTTAACAAGGGAGTCGTTCAGGGCAAGGTCGCCTTATCCGGAAACCGTCAAGCACAGTGGTACGCAGGATGCCGTCGGACCGACAAAATCCATGTTTCGTTTTCGCTTGAACGGTTTAAGTTAGTAACAAAGAAGTGTGAATACATACTCTTCAATAGTCAAATGCCCCACCGCGGCGACCAAGCTTTGCAAATCATTGGCGGCCCTTGTTGGCCTTCAAAATGTCCGTGCGATGAAATTTTGACATCTGATTTTGATATCTAGCGCATTTGCAAGCCGCAAATTAGTAGAGCGTCAACCAAATCGCAAAATTCATTCGCCCACGACGGGATCGAACCCTGTACAGTACATTACGCTACTTTTTGGTTTCCTATGAACCAATCAGCGGGAAATGAAACATGTTTTGCGATCACCTGACATTCAACGTTCCTAATAAATGCATCAAAACCGTCGTTGCAAAAGCGCACCTTGCCTCCTGAATACCTCACTTGTAAGAAGCACACAGTGCGACGTAAAATATTTTTGAAATTCTTAAACTTGCCGTAAATTTAAGTGCGAGTGGTGCCTGCTAGTGGAACATTGGGGCTCGTGCCGAGCGGGTGTAGTAGTGGAAGCGATGCCCCCCCTACCTATAGCGGACAATCATGTTATAGTGGTCCAGGGCACCAGTTGCCACTGTCCCAACCCTTATTTCTTGCAAACCTCTCTAATCCGAAATATCTAGCATTTCGCCTGGCCTTCACTAATCCTTCCCTGGTCTGTCCCGATTTTTTGTCGTATTTTTCGCCAGCGCCGGGTTTGCTTGAGCTGATTGCAAATTGTATCGTGGCGCTGAGAGGTGATCCGAGAAGCCCACTTAATGAATGCGGCTGTCTATCGGCAACAGCGATTTATGCTTGTCGTTGGCCATCTGCTGGCGACTTATAGCCCTGTGATGGGCTATAATTCATTATGTTGGTACTGCGATTGTTCTTTAGATGTTCACAGAAGAAATGGCGCAAGTTAATGGAGCACACTTGGAACCTCCTTTTCGCTTCATTTTTTGAGGAACAACCTTGGCGTGTCGGTTTGTCGGTAAGCATGTGTGTATGCCTGTCCGGTCCGTCCTCACATTGCCTGGGGATGAGGTGTAGAATGCGATAAGAAAAAATCACCACTCATAAGACTGAGAAGCCCCTGTTTTGTAAACCCTTGGGTCCGACTCACTGTTGTGGTTTCATTCCAGCACGATGCCATCACAGTTGAGCTTGTCTTTGCAAATGCAAGGCGCCCTCTTGGGCAAAGGAACCTATTTCATTAACTTTGACACAACTTGTGAAAGCCAGCAGAGTGGAAGACGTGAATACAGTGGGAAAAGCAGATTCGACTGCGGCTACCAGGGAAAGAAAATGGTGAACGAAAGTGTCATCGAAGTGCCATAGGCCACTGCACCAGTAGATGGTTAATTTAACACATTGACGACAACGCGGGGGAGATATATCCCAGGCCATGTAGGACCGTGCGGGATATATACCCCCCGCACCCATTACACTCATTTTTTCGCGCACGCCTTGTTCTTCCAGAAGTTTCTTGTATTCATTCCATGGAAGAGACCTCAAAATAGCTACAAACATAGTGGCCCTCAGAATGATCACGTATACTTTAATTCGGAGGAGGATTTCTGAACCATACGGAATCTTCATTTCAGTAAATTTTTCGTTTACTTCTTCTTTTTATGAATGCGAAGATTTAAATAGTAGAAAAGTAAGTAAGGAACCTTAGGGATGAAAATATGTGTGTCTTGATTATTATACTCGACATAAAACTGCTTTTGAGGTTCACTGCAGCTAGTTCTGACCAATTTCGTTTTTTCATTGTTACTCCATGCTTTCAGTCAAAATTCGACTACTGCCCTGGTTAGGTTGCGCTCATTACAATTTACTGATTTGATTTAGATTTGGTCACTACACATTTACGCTTTTGTCACTCAAAATCTGCTAGAACGACTTGAGGCGAGCGCGCTCGCAAAATCGCCGCGGTCCCACAAGGCTAAAAAACCCAAAACTCGCGTTGTCGTCAGTGTGGACACCTCTTGCAGAAGTGGTATGAAAGATCTATTCAGTTGGTGGGATAGAGTCGCCCTGAAGTATCAAAAATGTGACGTTGTCGCGGCTTACAAGTGCATGACAATGACGCCAGGGTTTTACAGGGTCAGAATATGGCAACTAATCTTAGCATTTGGATGAGTTGTGTAGCGCCACCCCATGACACGCAACATGGATTAGGCCGATGTGAGACTTTGCGAATCGCGCGACTCGCAAAATCTGACACTGGCCTTACGGCGCAGCAGCCAATTCAAATACACGCGGGTCGGTTAAGCCGTGGTGTAGGTAATTTTGCACAACTCTTCTGGCCCCGCCACTTCCTTTTTCAACATGAATTTTTGTTTTGGGCTTCATCGACGGTTTCCTTTGCTACTCATTTATTTCAGTCAATTCGGATTCCATACCCTCAACAGGGACCGCTAAGACCCTGCTAAGCCGATCTGGGGGGAGAAAAATTCTGCTTGAGATTCTAGTTTCATGTGAAAAAAAAAGATTGTGCCTACTTCCACCGGAAAGAGAGAGAAGTGTTCATTGAAAACAGCTGTGAGAGAAAAC